TCAAAGCTTCTCTAGAGTCTCTTCTGGGTTTGTTCCTTAAGTTGATACAGGTCTGCTTGCTGGCCCCAGGCCCTTGTCCTGGCTTTGAGCACCCAGGTAGAGGAATAGCAGTCCTAGTATTTGCTTGCTTAACAGACACTTAGAACTTAACTTGTAGAAGATGCTGCTCAAAATAATTTCCAGTTTTCATTTGCTTTTGAGGAAGCTGAGACACACAGGGATTCGGTACCTCACCAAGGTTGTAAGTCCAGAAGTGTGGAGCTGAAATTGGATCCAGGGAGTCCAGCTCTGGAGTCCAAATTGCTGCAGCTGAAACACTAACAGTCATCGTGCTTCCTGCATGCCAGGCATGTCCCTCCAGGTCCCCATTCGGTGGTCATCTCCATTTTGCAGACAAAGTGAGGTTCCTAAAGTGGCTTCACCCAGACAGGCTGCACCTCTTCTAGTCCCTCAGGCCCTCAGCTTGGATTCACGCACACTGTCATGTTGCTTCCAGAGTTGGAAGGAACTGACGTTCCACAGAATGATTTTAAAAACTGTATTAATATCCATTCGTTCCCTAGCGAGAGGCTACACAGTATTTCAAGGGGAAAAATTTTAAATCCTTTTTATGAATTGTATTGCTAACACTTCCCAGCAGTTGTCCCTTGCCTCCCCCACTTTCCGAAGAGTTGGGTGATTCCTCCCTCTTAGCACTCGGGCTGCCCGCTTAGACGCCACCTGCCATGCCTTCACTGGCTGAGTAAACCATCAGCAGTTAAATGACCTTGTTCCAGAATTATGCCTCCTTTTATTCATGTTGGTCCAGTAATGAATGAGCTAATCCCTCCCAACCTTCTAACCTGCCTCTCCTTCCTCTCCCCCTGCTTTTTAATTGGAACTTCTGGCTCCAGGCATGGAGAATGAAAATAAATGAACTGTGAGTGAATTGAATCTTCCCCTACCCACACACCCCCCAAAATCTCAATTTATTAACAAATGTTCAAGGGTGCTTACCTCTGGCTTGTTAAAGGAACAGAGCCTCAGTGGAGACGGAGGAGCAGCACAGCATGGAGGCCTGCCAGCCAGTAAACCCCATTTCCCATTGAGGTGAACTTGGAATGAAAACACAGCCATTCGCATGGGCTTGCTTCTCCCTCCAGCTGGGCTGATCTTAAACTGAACCTGGTTCCTAGAAAGGCCCATCCTTGGGAAACTGCTACCCCTAGAGACTTAAAAACTAGTCCCAGCTATTAAAAAAAGATAAAATTGTGTCTTTGGGGACAATATGGATGAAATTTCAGGGGCTTATGCTAAGTGAAATACATCAGAAAGTGAAAGACAGTTAACGGATGGTTTCACTCATTTATGGAACATAAATAGCCAAAGCGAACGAACTGGCAACATGGAACAAAAATAACTCTTGGAGTCTGTGAAAAATATGATGGTTACTGGAGAGGGAGATGGAGGAAGGAGGAAGGGAGGGAGAGGAGGCTTGCATAGGGTATAGTGGCTCCAGAACTGCCAGTGTGGGTGAGAGAAGCATGTGTACAAGCTGGGAAGCTGTCCCCCCCAAATTAGATATGGTGACAAATAGAAAACCAATAAAATTTGATTTAAAAAGGCTAATTGTCCCTTTCCATGCCAACACTCGCCCTCAGTCTGGCGGTACAGCCTGGGGTTTAAGAGGCTGGGCCTTACCAGGTACCGTGGGTTAGCTCACCATGGTCACAGTCCCCAAGGCAGGTCACACACCAGTATCTGCACTCTGCCAAGTGTAGGAGGCTTAGCAGCTCCACCCTCCTGAGAAGCACCTGGCTTCCCACCAAGCCTCTGTACCCCAAAGCCTCTGTACCAGTTACCCTGCAGGAAGGCATTGCAGACTGCAGAGAGCACCTTCAGCTGAGGTAAATGCATTTAGTGAGAATTTGAGGGCTCGTGGGCTAAAGAGATAAGAGTGAAGTTGTCCCTATTTATGTCATGTAAACAAAACATTTGTAGTAGAAAAGGAAACAAGAAAATTGCCTCCCATATTCCCTCAACCTAGTGCATCTATTTTTATGATCTCTATTTCCTTCCAGTCTTTGTCTAATTGTATAAATAATTTTGCCAGCAGTAATCATAGTGTAGATAGCATTTTAGTTATGGGCTTTCATTTAACATTTCCTAAGATGTTTTTCTGTGTTCCTACATGGTTGTGTAATTATACTTTTAATGACTGCATTACAGTATGTCATTAGGCTTTATGCCCCATTGTTGAATATTTAAGTTCTTTTCAACACTTACTCTTTGAGAAAGTGCTCTGACATACATGTCTATACACATGCTTTTTTATTTTCTTTGATTTTTATTGCCGTTGGAAATATTGTGAAATTATTGGGCCCAAGAAAATTTTTATGACTTGTGATACATAAAACCGTTTTGTTTAGTAAAAGAGTGCTATCCACTTTCATTGCTACCAATAACATGTAAACAGACCAATTTCAAATCATAGCCTTGATGGTAATAGGAGTCATATCATAAGTACTTTGCTGATTTAATGGGAACAAAATGATTCCTTGGTTTTAATTTATACTTTTTTGATTACTGTCTAGATGAACCTTTTCCCATATTTGTTTGATTATGTTGCATCTTGTGTAAATTGTGTTCTTTGCCTCGATGCTGGAAACTTGACATTTTTCTTACAAATTTTTATGAATAACTTATATCTCTCCAAGCCCACCAAATGAATGCTTTAAGTCTAACCATGGTTATGAGGAAACCTACAAATGTAAATATGGACTACATAAACTTGTGTCCAAGAAGAGAATAAAGTTGCATGTTTATTATGTGCTTGGCACAAATCAAAGCACCTCACCCAGCTCTGTGAAATACGTCATATATGACTCCATTTTTTCAATGGAGAAACTGAGGCAAAAGAGGTGAAGAAACTTGTCCAGTTTCAACCTCGCAGGTGAGCCAGGTCTCAGAGCCAGGTATTTTGGCTCCCAAATCTGTGACATAAGCCCCACATGGTGGTCTCTTGTTAGTTAGGGAGAAGAATGAGGGACTGAGGGCAGGAGGGAAGTACTTCCTGGGGAGAAAACTGGATGTAAGCACCCAGCCCTGGAGATTCATGAGTCACTGAAGGCTATTGGCACCCGTTTCTCTAATAGCTTGCTCGCCATTTTAAGTGAGCAAATATGAGGAATGATGTGGCAAGGCAAGATGCACGCCTTTTTTGCTTTAGGAATTATTACCAAGGGCTTTCTGAACATGTTTGACTTTTGCAACTGTACAACCCAGCTGAGGCTCCATTGTCGTTTGAGTTCAGTGCTATTTATGGATTTTCCTGCGATTCTTCCCATCAGCTTGTGCTACTAAAAATTGGCCCCTGCTTGTGATTTGGTAGTTTATATTTTGACCAATGGTTCTTACGTCATAAAAACCTATATTATTTGTTGCAGGTGGATTTTAACTAATTTATTTTCGCTTATTGCTAAATAATGCATTTTCACAACTCTGATGCCAAAGTAGTATGAACATTCCCTTCATCTGTTCATTTGAATAGGTAATAAATGTGGAGGGGCAGACAGGCAGGGTGATTTTTATTAATGGGACTTTATTAATTTATTTTTTTAATAGAAAAACAATTGAATCCTGCCCAGTAACAATGTCAGAAAGTTCATGGACGACAGTTTATTCCACTGCTCCCTCCCAATCCCACCCCACATCAGATATCCACCAGGCTGAAAAATGTAGAGGTGTAGGCTGGTAAAGTTGTCACCATAAGCAAAAACACGTGGGAGCCCTCATTCAGTTTTCAGATACCATGAATATCATTGATTTTCACTTGTAATCTGAGAGTTGCAGTGAACATATTTTTTCTTCTATAGCAAGAATAATTTCTCTCAGCTTTGTCAGTTTGAGGTTTCAGTTCAGTATAGCAAAATTTGATGAGCTCTCTGAATTGATGCTGTATCTGCCATTAGCAGATATAAAGTAAAATAGAACAGTGAAATCCTGGTGAATGGTTGTCCTTCAGCAAAGAGGAGAGGACTACTATTTGTGAGTGTAGACTAAGTGGATGTGCTGACGTTACCAGAAAAACTTCAATTCACAGCAGCTTGAGCAAGCTACCAAAAGAGTAAGAATTTGAAATGGCCTGGCATTTGCTGTGAGAAATGCAAGTTCTAGACACAGGAGGTAATCAGGCTGATTTTCCTGTGGAGTTTATTTCAGGGCTCTAAGAAACCAGTCCATCTTGTACCAGTAGCGTATACTTTTTTAGACTTGAGCTTTCTAGCCAACTGCCATGAGTTGCATCTCCAACTCACATGGCACAAGAACATTAGACTGACTCTTGCCTCCGGGAGTCGGCATAGCTTTCTCGGCTGTCTCTAGCTCACCCCTCACATCTCACTGTGGACTTTGCTTTTGTCAGGAGGTCAACTCTGATTGCCAAGTCTGAAGAATTCCATTTAGATAGCCCTCATAGCACCCTAAACATCCCCGTCATCACACTTACTATGCCCTGGTGGTGTACTTAACGGTTTTTTTGTTTTTTTTTTTTTGGTCTGGACACTTTCAATAGCATATAAATTTATGGAGGCTAGTTGTCATGTGTTCTGTTCATAGTCGTATTCAAAAGTTGTAGTACTTGGCCTTCAGTAAACACTTAATTGAAAAACCCGTTCATAATGTATGCATATAAACCCTTGTAGGTTGATGGGTCCTGCATATTTGCTTTGACTTGGTTTTATTCGTTGCGATAGAGTTTGTTGTTGATAAGTGATCTTGCAGTTGTGCGCGCTAAATCCTTAGTTTAATGCCATAGGGGTGGTAGTGTCTTTCTTAGCAATCTCCTCTTGGCTGACTGGTGCCCTGGGGAGACTGGTGCCCTGGGGAAAGCCCACCTGCTAAAAAACTGGAGGGCCCCGAATCATGTAACTCAGATGATGACATCAGAGCCAGAGAGTGACCTGGTCCTGGAAAAGTTGAATGAGTCTTGAAACTCACTGACTTTCTCTTTCCTCCTCTAGCGCTGGAAGACACAGCACAGTGAGGAATATGAAGCCGAAGGTAGGAACTGGGTGTGTGTTGGGGTTTGCCTAGAAGGAGAGGAGAAGAGGGCTGGCCACTGCCAGCAAGACCCCTCCCATGCCCCCTTTCCTCCATCCCTTAGCCTCTTTCCTAACAACCTTTAGTGCTGGAAGTCAACTAAGAATAATCTTCACATCAGCAACCAAATATTTTAATAGCTTTGGTTTTTTAAATCTTTAATGTTTAACCGCATGCAGGAGGTGGCAACTAAGACATAGAATTTCACTTATAGACTAATTGCCCCCTTATGTCGACTTTCAATTTTATCTGTGAACAGTTTTAAATTAAATAGTGACCTGCTAAAAGGCATCACTTGAAAGTTTCAGATGTATTTAAGAAATAGCAGAGTATGGTTCTTCCCTGGTGGTGCAGCGGGTTAAAGCACAGCATTAAGAAGTTTAAGCCACTTC